AAATTTCTCTTCCTCTTGTGAGATGGTCTCGCCGCGGGCCTGCGCCCATTGAGCGTGATCCACACGCCATTGCGTCAGATTCAGCCAATGAGCAGCATCGCGGCCGATCGTCATCCACAGAGGTTGTTTGGCGAAAGACGCGCGATGTTCGCGAAGTCGAAATAGAAAGTCATACTTCTTCCCCCTGCACTGTTCATATTATACCGTGTCCCAGACTTTGACGTCAGGAGCCGCATCCGACAGCAATGCATAGGCCAGAACCCATATGCATGATTCAAGATCGTGGCAGTAGAGGCGGGTAGCCTGATCAGCGCGATAATTCTTCGTCAAAAGGGCACAAGCCATGAAAGGAACGGTGCCCGAATGCTCTTGTTTAGTGGCACTGGAGGCATCGTATGGATTCCGAGCCAAGTCACAGCTGCACAGTATCCCTCGCTTCGAGATGGGGTCGCGCATCATGTTGTCCAAATTGATGTCGGTGTCTTTGACTCCGTGCATCCAGAGCCGGAAACTACCTGCAGTGAGAGCCCGGACGGAGGTCGACGTCGTGGAATTCACGCTCAGTTGGGACACGTACATCGATAGCAATCCACCCAAGCCTTCACCAAGTCCTCCGGCGACTCGAGGTTTCTGATCAGTACGAGCGCGGGCATCAGGAGCACCCGGACGGTGCGCGGGCTTGTGCGTTCGACGCTCTCGGAGGGCGGCGCTGGTCTCGCGATGTCCTCGGGAAGGCCCAGCACATTGTAGCCAAAGCTGAAAACGTCCCACTCCAGTAGCTCCCAGTCGCATCCCTTTCCCTTTGTACTCATCTTCGTGACCGTGACCGCCTGCTCGTCGTTCACGGCGTCGCCCTGGTCGTTCGTTGGCACGGTATTACAGACAACCGAGGGAAATGCGCTGCAAGCATGGGCCATGTCCACGTCCCCGTTACTATGCTTCAATCCGAGACGGTGAGAACGGGCTGATGACAAGACGGCGAGAGGAACCAGCCATCGATTTCAACACATGCCGAGTCAGCGATCGGCGTGCGCGCAAACGGCGATTGCTCACGGCACGTTTGCATTCATCGTGTTGCTCCGCCCTGCACACGCCTATGAAGTAAGTACGTGCTTCATCGCGAGAGCAGTCGCGGGAGGCAGAGACGAGAATCGCAGTCACGGTCAGGTTTGAAATTTGATCAGCCACACCAAACTCGTCTCGGCCTTGCCACCACGTCTTCAGACGTCTCGACTCGTCGAAAACAAGATTCAAAAAAATACGTTCAAAACAGCCTCCCAAACTCTACTGTAAGGGACACTATCGAACTACACAGTTTAGCCTTAAATGTGCGGATCGAGCAGGTACACTTCATGATGCATACTTTCGTCTAGATCTACTTCCGTCCAGGCTTTGATTTTACCTCTCTCATCGCGTGGTAGTATGCCGACGCTCGACGATGCCACTGGAAGAAGTGTGGTCGCCGCTAATACCACGCTGTGTCACGGTCACACTGAGTATTGAATGGCCCAGCAGTGAGCAAGCTGCACTGTCATCAATCTGTGATTCCGGCCTCACCTGTACTAATACTCACGATCTCGTGTGAACGATAGGTTTAACATCTTTTGAAATGAGCGAATGGGAAGAAAGCCGGTTACTTGAGTCAAGAGGTGAGCAATTGTGCTGTGGCATGATAATGCCTGCGGCGAATGGTGCAGCATGAGTGCCAGCTCAGGCCAGGTAAGTTTGATGCGCGCCCTTGGTGATTGGCTTTCATGGAAATCGAAACGCGTATAGCTAGTAAACAAGTGTTGTGTTTGTTATATACTTCGTTGTGCCCATAACGAAGATCGCACACTGAGGAACTCTTTGGTACGTATTCAGCTGCTGTATGCTCCATTTTCCTCAGAAGGCTGACTTCCATGCTCGAGTCGTTCAGACAACTCGTTTCAAAGCGATATCTAGTTGAACCATCGAAGATAGTGCATCAAGTCTCTCTACATGCTTCAGTCAAGATGTTGTTATAGGAAGCAGCTGCGTTCTCCGTAGACTCTCATTGAGCTCATACCCTCGAATCACAGCCCGAGTTCAGTGCACCCAGTCGGTTGTGGCTATGACAGGCACAAATGCGAAGCTCAGGACTCGGGGACCATCACATTCCCGCTCTGATGCGCTTGCCATTGGATGCACACATAGCGTGTTACACTTGAGCTACCCTGCTGAAGCACCGTGCTGTTAAACCTCTCCACAAAAGGACCCGAAGGTTTCATTTCCTTGTCTGCATTTTGGCAGTTGTCCCGTTTTTGATAGGCTGGCATCCAACTTCGGCGTGGTCCTCCAAAGGTTTATCGACAGATGAGAGATCACCAAATTGAAACCAGCAGACATTCGTGTGCACGTCGTTTGTATGGCTCGTTCATACGTAAGGGAGCCTGGTGGGTGTGCACAGTCTATTGGAACCTAACTTATGGCCACGGAGGACGATGTGCGTCGATGACAAGCTTGCCTTGCCGCCAGCAATACATGCACAGTCCCAGTACCGTGGAGACCCTACCCGTGCAAAGGAATAGCTCGCGTTCTTCCGTAACCCCTAGGTTTGTCTCGCCCCCTTTAGACTGTGCCCGACATGAATAGTACAAATATTGAATGTGCAGATAAAGAGCCTGCGGGCGAAATACAAATAAAATACTGGGCTATGAAGACAAGAACCAGTGACGGTTGAGGAGGGATTGATAGGTATATATGAATTTCGCAAAGCGTATAATAATATCCGAGTAGGAGTGAAAGTCTGAGTAGGAGCGGAAAAGAACGGTCGAACTCTTAATCCGCATGCTCAAAATCGAACTGCAATGCTCGTTTGTCGATTTTTCCGTTACTGAAGTTTCGTAAGTCCTTGCTAACTAGCCGATGACGCAGGATATTCACCTGGTTAACGGTAATGCAGCCAGCGCTTTGTATCTATTCGGCAGAGAGTATTTCGGGAGCAGTTGTGCCACTACATCCTGAACAGCGTCCGCAGGCACCTCTATAGGCGTGTAGAATGCCCACAATTCGTCTCGAATCAACACAGCGCATGCGTGAACAACACCAGGACAAGCGCGTATCGACGCCGACACCCCATCCAGCTCGACACGGAAACCCTAGAACAGCCTTCAGAAGTAGGAAGATAAATATGAATGGTGCAAAATACCTGGATCTTTACTTGATCATCAATCCGACCAAGGTAATCTAGCTCTCCGTCATGTCTTAATCGACCGATATCCCCTGTATTGAACATCATTCCTCTATAAAAATGTAGATGAATTAGAGGTTGAACATTACAGTGAGGAGTTCAACGTTCCCTTCGGATGAGAGTGGATCTGGTGCGAACTTGTTCTTGTTGAGCTCTGGACGATTGACGTACCCTAAACAAACACAGGGACCTCCAGCCCACATAACGCCCGGCATTCCGCGTGGTGTAGGTTGCATGTCGTCGTCAAGGACATAGACCGTGTTATTTGGCGTTGGCTTTCCAATCGTCAACGGTGTCCCGGGAGAGTGGTGATGCATGGTATTGACAATAGTTACCTAAAAGAGATAACTTGTTATCAATCTGAACTGTAATCGCACCCACAAACACATACCTCTGTAGGCCCACAACAATTGTAAAATGTGGCATTCTGTCCCCACTTATCTGCAAGCGCCACTGGGCATGGTTCTCCAGCAGTAGCGACCACTCGAATGTTTGGATAATTCGCTGGATCATGAGACGCGAGTATCGATGGTGTGCTGATAACGACATCTACTGTCCTCAGAATCTTCAGCCAGTCTACCCGACGAGGTCCGCGCATGTGAAGCGTGCCGCCATTCAAGAGGCAGCCCAGGGTCTCCCAGACGCACATGTCAAAGGCAATATTTAGCAGTTGAGCCACGCGTACACCTGGAGAGATCCTGAGGTTACCCGGCGGAGAGCATAACACTGCAGGGTCAGTATTCAATTAGCGAAACGTCTCGAAGAGCCGTCGAATTTACTCACGGTTAGTAACGTTCGTATGGCTGACACTGACACCCTTAGGTTTTCCAGTTGTTCCTGTACATGCGCGTAAGCTCATCATGAGTACTTAATCTGATTGCAAAGGCCATACCGGATGTATATATAATGTAAGCGCAGTCTGACGGAAGAACATTATCTTCCAACATAAACAGAGAAGAGATTTCGATATCCGCTACTCGTGATTCTTCAATGATGTCTTCCAGACAACGATACGTTGAGCGGCCAGCGACGATCTCAGTGCGGTCGATGTGACACTTGGAGATCAATGTGAGTACCGGTTTCGCGTCTTCCAAAACTGCATCCAAGGAATAGTTGGTGATGCTATCACCATCAAGAGGAACGTAGGCTGCGCCGATGCGTAAAGTAGCGAGGATAGCTACCACGTGAGAGATGGATCGAGTGGACACAAGGCAAACACGGGTCCCACGGCCGACTCCGTGCGCATAGAGAGCCAGTGCGAGTCGTGCAGAGTTCAACTCTAGCTCTTTGTACGTGATTTGGTTCCCCAAATAATCCATGACTGCTGTGTGCTCGCCAACCGCAGATGCCTGGGCGCAGAATGCCCTATGGATGCAAGTGAATGGTACCTGATACCTGGGCCCAACGACTATGCTTGCGATGGTCTCAACGATATCCCAACCATCTGTACGGCCAGATATAGATCCAGTGGAAGAAGATATGCCAGAGCATACATCCTGTTCGTGCGCTGTGGGACGGGGGATGGGCCGACTTCGCTGTAGTGCAGATCTTAACGTAGATACCCAGAGCCACCATGCGGCGTGCATGTACTCGAGCAGATTGAATAGAGATTTCAGATCCATGGTGCTGTTGCTGTCGATCAGTGTACCTTCTCAGCAACGTACCGCAATATGTATGTAAACACTCTTGAAGTTTCTTGTATAAGCTGGTCCGTCTGAGGTTGCCTGATAACAGTAGGGTCTGCATGTTACACATTCAAAAGTGGACACCGTGAGCCAAATGCGGTGTCCGGCTATTGAGCATGTGCCGGACATGCATCAAATTGCATTTTCACTCAATTCTCTGAGTACGAGCATTGGATATCACATTCGGGCACCGAACGTGGTAGATTAGTAGCCTCTGATTGGTCCGCTTGCCATGTTCTTTGCATGTAAAGTCTGGCCGAGTGATTGGGCTTCGAACATTGCAAGGAAATGCGATCTCTTGCAGCCAGTTTCCAACGCATACTCGACCGCCGAACTTCGTCAATTGCCCACGGTTTATAAAGTTCAACCATTGAAAGATGGCTCGACTGATGCTAACAGTCAATCGTGAGATATTAATACAACAACAACCATCCGGGCACAAACCATAGGTTTTGTAAGGCATCCATGCTCTATACTGGCAGATGCCTTCCTTGATAGATATGGATGATGCGATAAATACCGCTGTCTTGACGCTGACGCTTAGACAACGGAGAGGCATTTCCGCATCACCGGACAGTGAAGAAGGAAAAGCCATTATATGGCGGCCCGACATGGCATTATTAGATTAAGATGTTAGAGGTCCATATGGTAGGTTCGAGGATTTTAGAGGAACTGAAGATGTGGCAGTCTCGGAGTGAGCCGAGAAAGGATTTTTTTTGTTGTGATACTGTAAGCGTAAGCCTACTTACAACGTCTACAAAGTAAGAGTAATAGTAATTCCCGCTACGAAGTAAGTACTCGGGGGGTTCTTATCGAATTGAAGCTCAACGATCATCCGCAAGATTTCAGATCTGTGCTCCTGTCTGCCCTTGCTTAGTTTCACCTGTTGACTCATGTGGACCAAGTGCTGTGGTGCCAAGTTCTGGAAGATTGTATTGTGACATCAGTACAACAACACTTTACATAGAGATAGACCTACAGAACTAATCTGAACAGTGTAATGAACCCTCCAGATTATATTAATTGTATGTAGGGTTTTGTCATTAGTGTACAACATACTCCATCACATCCCTCAGGCCTGCCACACCATTTGCTACTGGCATAGTGGGTTATGCCACTTCATACAATAATAGTAATAATAAACAACGACTTATGGAAACAGGGAGAGGGAGATGACCCGCTGAGGGCTGGAGCGCTGAGGGCTCGCCGCTGCCGGCGACGGGCATGTGGCGTGGGCGGCACGACCCATCGCTTCCGTCCTTTCTCCCTGCCACGACATTCACGCCTTCAGTATACTTGTGTTCATACCACACTCATTCTGATACCTGGAAATCTGCACCATGCGCACCCCGCTACCGTCAATCATCTCGTCTAGCACTATCGTCTTGATTTTGGTGTGGTGGTTTATTCCATTAGTGAAGGCCGACTGTGAGTCGCTCTGTGTACCAACTCAGCCTTTCCTGAGACGATCTGTAGATTGGGAGGTCACATCGCCGACGTCTGGAGTTGAGTGGGTTAACGGAAGGGCCAATCTACTTGCCTGGTCCAAGGGCTTGTTGGACGGGATAGACATGTTCGACATCGAAATGCAGAGACTGAGTGTCGCAGGCGTGAGCTTTGTTGCACACAATGGTGCGTCTCGTTCTTTCTTACGGTGTTCTTTTGCTCACACACTTGCCTTACTGTCTAGTCCCCTCGTCCATGAGTAGCCTGAATGTCTACCTCCAGGATGTCCCCGTCGGCAACGACTACTACATCTCCTTTATGAACCTCACCGATGGCGCACTTTGGGCTTCATCTGCTGCATTTGCTATCTCTAATTCTGCGAATGCAACATTGCCGTCCTCTGATGGGAGCGCACCCACCGTCACGATTTCCGGCGCGCCCGCTCCTACCGACCAGTTCGCGATCAGCTTTGCGGCTACATCGGATGGAGGGATGAGCCCAAAGGCCATGCAGACCGCTGGAGTAATCCTCACCGTTGCGGCCTGTGCCCTCAGTGGCATGTTAATTCACTTGTGAAGTTGCTGACTGCCAGGTAACTGAATTAATGGACGTATCCGCATACCAGCAACCAAGGTGCGCGATGTCACACCGCAGTGTCCTATCTAGCTTGCTGTCTTTTGGGATAGTGTATTGTTTCTGCTTGCTGTATTCTTGTTAGGATATCTGCACACTACGGACTATTACGGGCGGACTGTATTTACATCTATTTCATGCATTTTTAGACTTCCATCGGCAGTGTACGAGCGACTCGCATCAAGCCCTGAACGCATTCCATCTTGGAGTAGGCAGATCACTGATTCAACTCATACAGTAGATGCGGATCAACACATAAGTCTCAGATAGCAACAAACGCACGAGCATGCATTGTATCTGCAGATTCAGATAGCTACAGCGCGTATGGGAGGCCAGGGGAGGGAGGACATTTTGACGAAGACGCTACAGACAAATCACATGAATTGTATTCTACTTCTGCTGAGTATGTTTCAGTGGCTGTGTCTAGCAATCAGCGCCTCAGCCTTCTTCGATCGCGGGCGGATGTCACAGACAAACGGTTTGGGATGACTGGGATTAGCGTATCGGTCAAAAGCTTCAACTCGAACAATCATCAGTCTCACGAGATACCACCAGCGAAGTATTCGGGCATTGGCGTGATTTCTGCACCAGCTGCGTCTCTGGCCTTGCGAATGTCCAGAGTAGCTAGCATGGTCGCAGCTACGAGGATCGCAGTCGAGTCTCCAAGGAACCGACCGGGGCAGATCCTGCCAATGATTGAGATGAACGCTTCAATGTTATTGGAAGTTACTGCATTCACAAGTCGTACCCACCGTCGACCAAACCCAAACGCCATCTTGCGAGGATCTAGACGTTCTGCGTCTTCAGGATTGAGACCTATGTACCGTTCTGGATCGAAGCGATCAGGACTGGGATATATATCCGAGTTGTGCGTCATTGCCTTGTGAAATCACGATGAACATAGTTCATTTCGATACTTTTGCACCGTACCAGATATTGGTGATGACGGTCGATCTCGCAGGGTGATGATAGCCACGAAATTCATCGTCGACCGTCAGCTGGTGGGGCAACCCTGATATGCGATACGGATTGTATTATTGTGAGATAATCATTTCGCTTACCGAGGGGTACAGGACAGCCCCAGCTACGACGAGAGTGAAAAAGGCATAGAGCTGGAAGGAAGACATCACTGTACCGATATACTTCCTTAATGACGCAATCAAGGTAAGGCAGTGAGTCCTTGTCTTCGATAGTCGGGAGACGTGAATCGCCGATGACTGCGTCTACCTCCGTTTGTGCTTTCAAGTAAATGTCTGGGTGCAAGACCATCGCCTGAATAAACATCAGTATAGTGGTAATTGTCTGCAGGTAAGGAGTTAGCTATGGAACAGCCATGCAAATTCTGCGGGGACAAGTACGGTATCGGTGCCAGCTGGAATGCCACAGTTGAATTTTAGCAGGGGCGAGATTATGTACACTGTTACTGCCATTTGTCTCACCTGAATACAATACGATTGCCGCATCCTTCATGCCTTTCTCATCTTCTTCTGTGATCTCTCCAGTCTTTGAGATCTCGCTCATGATTGAAGAAATAAAGCAGGACTCCGCATTGCCCGTCGCCTCATGTAATAGTCGTGCGATCAGAAACGAATCAACTAGTACAGACTCTGCACTTACGAGAAACTCCTTGAATCTTTCATATGGTACTTGTATGGTCACTCTCAGTGACTTTGCCGCATCCAGCGCCTGTCGTTTCCACTGGCCGCCTGGGAGCCATACCGGCCAGTACTTGACTGCGAAAGAAGAGTTCGCAAGGCTTATCGGGTAATTCCGGTAAATATAATACTTACGCGTAGGAAAATAGTCCACTAGCGACCCAGCAAAACTTCCCGACTGGAAAATCTCCAGCATTGCTTTCTCCGCATTCTCGAGGTAATTTTCATCTAGCGACGATAAAACGTTACGGCCATACGCAACTTCCATCATCAAGGAAGCAGAAAACCTGGGCTCTTACGTCTGAGTAAGCAATCCTTTGACAGAATATGTTCACAAACGTCTTGACGTGTCCCATGAATGCTTCAGGACTTTCAACGAGATTTCGCATCAGTGCCTGGACCCTGTCCTGTTGGAGACTGCGATAGCGATTGAGCCCATTCCTCGCTTGGAATGCAGCCTGAAACCATTTTCGCTGACGACGCCAGTCTGGATCTTCATACGCCCTCAATGAGAAGTTATATGTCCAACCAATGCTGTTCAATCAACAAAGTAGTCAACGATAGCCCGTTGATAATAAAAATGCACATACACATCAAGAAGCTTCACGAAACGCGGTCTATCAGAATACTTGGAACCTCTCTTCTCCAACAGAAGGCGTGCTACTTCGACAGAGTTTAATACTAGCACAGGCGTTTGGAATAAGCGTGCAAAGACTATGTCGCCTATCAGAGACATATGACGCTTAGCATATCTATTAAAAATATGAGAATAACCGTGCCATATATCATTGCCCAATCCGTAAACGTCTTATGCTGGTAATCCATAGGTAGCTGGCTGATATTCCCGAAAAATGGAATAGCTTTAGGACCAGGAGGAAACCTTTTGTTACGGTGCCGGGAGGTAACAAGAATGTAGAGAAGAGCTATTAAGCATCCACCACAAAGTTCCAAGTCGTATAGTGTCAGCATAGTGAGAATAGAGAGAGAAAGGAGATCGTTGTGAATTATATATACCTGTCAAAGGAGGGCTTCGTTTCCGTCCCGCCTCTCACGCTCTAAAAATACCGTGCTTCGCCCCATTCCTAGAACATTGTCATGGGGTGAGGATAGGCATTGAATCGTGGGCAGAATCATGGGAAAAGGTTTTGGGGACGCAGGAATGAGGGGCATAGATTACGTATGGCAGATTAATCTCCTGGCTGGTTTGTCCAAGCTCATGGTCAAGGCCAAGAATCGGAACTTCTTGACGATAAGGTAGTACTGTTTTCTTGCAATTTCCGATAGTTGCGTGTAATGTAGAATCCACCCCGATGAGGTGCTAAGGACCGAAGGACAAGGATTTTAGTCTGAACAGAGTGCAGATAACCATGCCAGTAGAATACACTCAAAAAGACCATAGTACTTACAGTGAGGCGACTCGCCTCCGGTAAGGAGGCAGGAAGTGCTGATTTTGACTTTCGCCTTGCCAGTCGGAGGAATCATACTGGGGTCATATTACCGTAGACGTCTTTCCAGCGGTGGATGGTTATTTGATGAAATGACCTATTCTTGTTCGTCGACAGGCTAGGACTTGAAGGAACCATTTTAAATTATTCGCTAATTTCCAAGCAAGCCTTTGATCGACTTGATTTTGCCTATCTAGACAGACATTGTTGCCCTTATACACAGTACTTGGTGGAAAACAAGATGCAGTAGCGACTTGAGTAGGGTAAGAAAGTTGCACTGTTATCGGTGTTGGTTTTAGCTTCAGAGCCTGTCTTCGGCTTTGATCGCGCCTGGCAAGTGGAATAGGAAAGTGATGCATGACAGATACTTACGGCTCAGATGTGTTTCTGAATGCAGCAGAGCATGAGACTAATCTCTGAGAAATTGTATATGGGTGCAGGATGGACGTACCCGTATTTCCAGGTGTGGCGAACCATGATTGTCTACGGAGAATGACAAAATATGCAGCAATGAATCTCGGAGCCTGTCAATCCAAACGTACGTTATATATTTCATAGTTAGTGCCCATGAATCGGCTAGTTTCTGACTTCTGCGTACTGGGTTTGAAGCCTGAGGCCTAAGGACTGAAGTACTGAAAGCTTTCAGTTATGATGAACCTGACCCTACGCTTGTTTTTGAGCTCCGGCAGCAGCCACAGGAGATCGGCCGCTTGTAATTGGTCCATTAATCATCTCCAGCTGGATATCAACATTAATATTGGCGTCCGCGCAACCAGTATATGATTTATCAAACTACAGTTGCTCCTCAATTTCACTAGACCAAAATCGATTGCAGTCTCAAGGCCATATTATCACCTCGAGCAGTGAAAAGCTCGCATCACTCTTATTGGAAACTACTCACACGTCTACCTGAAAAAGCGCCAGCGTACCCGCACCGGAGAATGATCGTATTCACAGATACAGTAGGTATCCACAAGTCAATGTACACGTTCTGTGTATCTGAAGGGCGTGCAGTGCGCAGCTGACTCACCTCCACTGACACTCCTTGCGCACACCCACATCTATCAACGGGGAAGTTAGGTAATGAACGGATTTTCAAACACACACACCGGCATCGGGTCATGTCCAACCGGCTTTCTTCTTTCTGCTAGCACCATGGAGCCGTTACGAGCTGAATGCTTACTGGGAGAATTTATAGGAGATCGAGACGCACAATACATTCTCTCTTGGCCCAGCTTGCTCTCCTTCACAACTCTAAAGATTCCTCCTCTGTATGCCATTTTTATCACGGCATACTGTACGCCGCACAGGGGCCATCAGCAACTCGAACTTTGAACGGTTCACATACCTGCTCTGGACTTGATCACGATTGACAAGAGGGTGCCGACCGGGTGGTGTCGGAGAACATGAGAAGCTTCTGTCTGACAGCAACGGTATCATTTGGTCGTCTCGTAGTTTGCTGTGCCTGCGGATAGCGATCCGTGTAGACCGTACGACGATGGGAGCATGGCTGATACCCTGAGTCTGGCCCTGACTGGGAGAATATAAAAGGGTCGCTGTGGTCCCCGTTGAGCTGGGCAGCTTTACCTTGTGTCCGTCGCTTGCTTGGGTTTTCACGCGCGCGCTGCGAGCCGCTGTGCTGAACGCCGTACGTCTTAACGTGGTTGAGGAAAGGCCAGGACGATGGAGGGCGCTGGCAGGAGGGCGGTCACGGGACACTGCGAGGGTACCCGAAGGCCAGAGCCAGGACGCGGCCAGACTCAGCGGAGCGTCGACCACGACCATCGCCCCGCGTTGTTCTTTTATCGCGCTCCCTCCCTCCCCGCTCCTTCCTGTGTCTCTCGTCGTTCTCCGCGTCCTTGCCGTCCTACTCACCTCCGCGTACAGCGCCCGGTTCCGTAACGCTCACTGCTCACCACCGGCACCCGTATTGCCGCTCGCCGCTCGCAACGAATTCGAAAATCTGCTGCCGGATCGTTACGAGTTGTTGGCTCCTCACATATATCATCCGCCTGGCAGGGCTTGTCTCAGTCTCGTCTCCACTAGCTCCCTACCAGCTGCGTCCGGAGTCTATCGCTTCCATTGCTCGCGATCTTGCCATCATGAACGTGTTTAACCCAAAAATCCTCGACGCCTGCATCCGCGACGTCACCACAGGACTTTCTGATGAATATAAAGCGGACGTGCTCTTGTATGCTATGGGTCATCTCAAGCTAGAACGGTCCGTATTCACCTAGAATCCTCGCGCATCCCCCGACTCCCTAATTTCGTCAATTTGTAGCTCTAGAACCCTCGTCGAGAATGCAGTCCAGTCCTGTCTCTCACTAAGCAAGTTATCCGTCGCGAACGCAACCAAAGCGCGTCTAATGCGTGCAAAGGCCAGACTCGCCGCGGGCCTCCATGTGGGCGCACACCAAGGTCGAGACCATTCTAGTCGCACAGTCCTCTGCCCTAGGCTCACCGCTTTCTTTCTTCGTTTCAGACCTCCGCGCCATTATGGAACTTGAGCCCGAGCACCCTGAAGCGAAGCCGCTCATGCTACAGCACGTAGCAAATCCTGGCAAAGTATGTACTCCACCTTCCTCTCACAGCACCCGTCTTCGTTGCTCATCATGGCCGTCCTGCGCCAGGCGCCAATAGAGCCCCACACGACACCTGGCTTCTCGACGGAAATTTGGCGTGAGATCGCCCGTTGGCTCTCACCCCGCGATCTAAAAAACCTACTCCTCGTTCCCCACGTCCTTTCTCGTATCGCCAGCCAGCTTTTGTTCCAAAAAATAGACTTATATTTTGGTAAGCACCGCAAGGGCCACGCGTACACAGCGGGAATGCTCATTGTCATCGGTCAGTATCAGATAAGCGAGAGTCTCAACGCAGTGCAGACATTCTCACCCGAATCATTGTCGACGATGAGTTTGCAAAACATGTCAAAATGCTCCGTGTATTCTTCCAGGGACGAGATGTCTCGTCCATGACCTTCCAAACAGGTAATGAAGTAGCAAATTCCCCACGTGGATATCAATATTGATTCTTTACAGGCATGCTTGCAAATGCACTCCCCAAACTTCACAGTCTCAAAAACGTGCACTGTTCCATGCGATGGAGAGAAATGCACTCTTTTCTACGTATTTTGGAGAGCACGAATCATCGGCTGCGAGGGCTATCACTAACGTGAGTGTATGCTTAGTCATTCGCCACCTCATTCCTAGCCCGGGAAATTGTGACTGAGAAATAATTCTTTCCCCTAGGCCTTCAGATGGGACGGCAGAATTGCAAATCCCACGCTTCCGCCATATTACACAGTTCTCGTATGTCGGTAGCGGCGGCAGCCCTGCACAGGTAATCGAGTTCCTGCAGCAAAACAAGACATCGCTACGTGCAGTCACGTTGCAGAACCAGCACTGGATTCTGCCAAGTGAGGCGCTGTCCTTCCGGAACTTAACGCACCTCGACTTCCTTGGCGCGCTCCCGCCCGACTCACATGCAATCACAGACATCCTCCAAGGGGCGACGCAACTCGAGTCGCTACGCCTGCAGTGCGTACTCGACTGTAACGCGTCCACACAGTTCCGCGAACACGTACGTGCACTGCCCTTCTTGCGCCATTTTTCGTTCTCCCTCCTCGGCTACGGCGTCGACGACCACGACCTCTTTCCCGCCATCTCCGCGTTCCTGCGCGACCGACGAGCGCTGCACACCCTGCGTCTCTCCGTTCCGAGCGCCGTGTGGGCCCAGCGCCGTCTCGGGTATGACGCCACCGTATGGGGCGTCCTGCCCTCTCTCGTCGAGCTGCGTAGCCTCACTGCGACACTCCCTCAAGACGTCGCTGCCGCCGTCGCTATGTGGCTCGTCCCGCGGGGCGTGCAATCGCTGTCACTGCACACCGAGGCGTTGACAGACGCGCTCGGCTTCGTCACGGTGTGTTCTCCCCTCCGCTCTGCCCTTCGCCCGCGCTGACGCCGCTTCTCATCACTGCTCTACTATCCGTGTTTTTGCCGCCGCTGCTGCTGCTAGCAACTGCGCGCGGGGCTGCCCCCGGGCCTGCGCTTCATCGGGCTTTCGCAGATCGACGTGCCAGACGTGCGCGCGGTCGTCGAGCAGGGGTTCCCGATGGTGCATGTTGCATGCATCGACGAGAACTACTATACCGTCGTGCGCATAGACGGACAGCTCAAGGTCACCGCATGGCCCGAAATGCGCGGGCACCCACACGTCCGCGAGTGGCTCGAGACACAAGGCTGCGAGGACGCCGAGTGGCGCCATCCTACAGAGTTTTTGTAGGTTGCTTGGACCGCCTGGGGGGAGGTGCGGCCTTATGGCTTGCGCGAGTGGGTCGTAATTTGTTTCTATTTTCTTTTTCTTGGTTCTATGTAAGACTGCAGGGTAATGTGTCACAGTACTGTGCGGTGGAATAACGAATATTATATTGCCTATTGGAGGACGTTGCAGCCGCTATGTATTTCTCGACCTCCTGAAGATTAGTGCTGGCACATTGCTTCCATGGTGCTACTGCCCAAGAAATAGGCAAGTTGGACGAAACTGACATGATCAATTGCCTGATGTAGCTACTCAGAAAAGCCGATCACTGAACTGCAGTCTGAAACTCTTCTTTGACGGAGGACGCATGGTATTCGTTGTGTGTATCGAAAGTTCAGTCGTTCCTCTCACAATATTAGCCAATCTCCACTCACTCACCCGTGAGTCTGGCATTTGTTCTCATGATTACGTCTGCTTGTGGACTTGTCCACAGCCTTTTCACAGAGAGCAATGTAGGTTCCACCGTGGAACCTACGTAGCGGCACCGTGTCAATCCGATGTCACGGGCTGGATTTGTGTCTTCGAATAGCAATGCTTTATCCGTGGATCACAAACTGCCAATGTATGCCATTCTAGTACAACATATCGTGCAGAACCATTGAGGACGGGCATAACCACTGTCTACACCATCGTCAAGTCATGATCTAGAGGTAACCGAAATTGAGCACAATTGCGACCGTCACAACTATTCATCTACATTCAGGATGAAACCGACAGCCGATCCTGCATGAGTGGAACAAACCCCAAACCTGCCATTCTCAATGTCAAAAATTCCTCGAAATCTTGAATGACCGCGGAGGCTGCTTCTGGTCTACTGCTCGTCCACTGCACCCCAAGCTTCTCATCCTCGCTTGAGATGCTCCCGCCGGGGGCATTCGCACGTCGAGCGTTACCCCCACGCTGATATCGGGCGTGACGCACACACCGTATCGCCAGATCCAACCAGCGAGCAGTACGGTTGCTGATCGTCTCCCACAGAGGTTGTTTGGCGAAAGACGCGCGATGTTTGCTGAGTTGTGATAAGAAATCATTTCTCTCCTTTCTGCACTGCGAGCAGTGCTCCGTATCCCAGGCCTTGATGTCAGGAACCGCATCCAACAGCAATGCATAAGTCAAAACCCATATGCATAATTCGAGCTCGTGGCGGTGGAGGCGGGAAACTCGACCAACACGATAGTCCTCCTCCAGCGCCATGAACGGAACAGTGCCCGGACGTTCTCGTTCAGTGGTACTAGGGTTATCGTGACAGATTCGAGCCAAGTCAAAGCTGCACAGAATCCCTCGCTTCGAGACGGGGTCACGCATCATGTTGTCCAAATTGATGTCGGTATTCCTGAATCCGTGCATCCAGAGCCGGAAATTACCTGTAGCGAGAGCCCAGGCAGAGGTTGACGATTGTGAAATTCACACTTGGTTGGGGCACGATTGGGGCACGTACATCGATAGCAATCCACCCAAGCCTTCACCAAGTCCTCCGGCGACTCGAGGCATCTGATCAACACCAGCGGAGGCATCAGGAGCACTCGAACGGTGCGCGGGCTTATATGAACGACGCTCTCGGAGGGCGGCGCTGGTCTATCGATGTCTTGTGGAAAGCCCAGAGTAGTATAGCCAGAGCTGAAAATGTTCCAGTCCAGTAGCTCCCAATCGGGTCCCTTTCCCTTGCTACTCATCTCCGTGACCTTGATCGCCTCCTCGTCGTTCGCCGCGTCCCCCTGGTCGTTCGTCGGCGCGGTGCTACAGGCAACCGAGGAGAATCTGCTGCAAACATGAGCCATGTCCATGTCCGCGTTGCTATGCTCTAATCCGAGTGGACTGGTGAAAAGACGGCAAGGAGGATTAGCCCAAAAGGGTAAGGACGAAACGGGTCACGATCGATTTCGCCGAATGTATGCGCGCGAACGGACTCCTCCTCGCTGCTCGCACATGGCGCGTTTGCTCCCCGGTCACACGTTTCGGCTGCAGGCTGAGGAATTAACCCCGGGGAGCGCACAAATTTTGCTCTACTTGCCGCCGTTGGGGGTCCTGGCTCTTCGAACGCATCTGTATGTTTGGTAGTTAACCCTCGGGAATCGGGACCCCCCCCTGGTCAGCCTGCTCACGCAAGTACAAGTCAACATCGGTCCGCAATTCGAACAACTGTGAGGTATCTTGTTCTCAATTGTGAGCTGTGTACATCCTCGCAAATCCTATGTCCTAAGAGAACATATTGCTGAAATATACAAAGTGTCGATTCCGTACCGGCCGCGAGGAGTCCGATAATCACATCCTAATATACACAACGCATTTCCTAGTTCACTTACGGCTACACAGTGCACTCAACGCAATACCAGAATGCGAGAGGAGCCACGGCACAATGCCACCGTAAAATGTGGTCACCAGTGAAGAGTGTGCGTGGGGCAGTGGTAGCCGGAAGGATTCTTGTGGAGGTACTCCTGGTGATACTCCTCCGCATCGAACCACGGGCCTGCAGCAACGATCTCCGTGACGATTTTCTTGCCTAGTAAAATGCAGCCTGTGGTCAGCAGTCTGTGAGGAAAGACGTGTGGGACGTAGGGCAGGAGCAAGGGTTGATGTGATGGAGCTGTGGTACAATAGGGTGATATATGGGGAAATGGACTATCATAAATGATGTGCCGCTCCTTGGAAAACACACTGGACCCAGGATGGTGCTCCGTCGGACATCCACTGTGGAAAATACCCTCGCGCTCCAGTATATTTTCCCCCAAGAAACGGCACATCAAATGTGAGATGGCTGTAAAGACACAGGAAAGACGAAGCACGCACCGACGGGATCAAAATGCTTCCTCTGTACCTCCTCCGTGACGCGCACTGCAATCTCGCGCTGCTCGGGGGAATTGTAGAATATGGCGGAGCGGTACTCTATCGAAATCAGGAGGAATGTCAGTACTAGTTAGTGTGAGATCCGAGCCAGAAGACGCACGGGTCCCGTTGTCTTTCCCCTGCGAATTAAGTGTGGTCGGGTCGTGTGTCCTGTAGAAAAACTCTGCACGAGCGTCACACGCACGTTCACGACAAGAACAGACAACACGCACCAACAAGCTCGGCGTAGGTTACGACGGCGGAGTCGAACTCTATGCGGAGGGACTCGGCGTGGCCGGTGCGGCCGGTGCAGACGGTCTTGTAGTCGGGGTTGACGGCCTCTGCGAGCCCGCCGGTGTAGCCGACCGCAGTGCGGAGGAGGCCCTTGTTCTGTGCAATGGGGTAGTGCTTGAGAAAAATATGCTCAACACCCCAGAAGCACCCTGCTGCGAACGTCGCGATCTCTGGATAGATGGCTGGATAGGGTCGAGGGAGCAAAAATTAAAACGAGGAAGGGTGCATACCGGACATGGTCGCACTGGCAAGGTTCCAGACGACCTAGAGGACTTGCAAGAGTGCAGTGAGGGAACAGACAAGAATTCGCCATTCTGAGGAAGTTGCTCGCCACAGGCGGGCCGAAAACGGCCCAGGATAATTAAGTCTCACGATGACCTGAATCCGCGACCAAGGACATTCCTCCGTCCGCCATAAGCAGGACCGCGAACTTAGCGAATTGACTCTCTCAATTTCAAAAGTACGGCGCAGAGCATGGCCTACCCGTTTCTTTCGATCAGTGGTGACATCTGCAGATGAAGCTGCTGCAGAAAAATAGGAGCCACTGCTAGGATTTCATCCCCCTGTGGTTTCGGACTACAGAAACATCTAAAGTGCCACGTTCTCTTAGGATGCGGATGAAGACGTAATGTCAGTATTCTGACGAAGACACCAGATCACCAACCTACATATCACGCCGGTCTGCTAGGGGACTCATTTTGCGTTAATGAGTATACCGTGTTGCATATTATATCCATCTACTCTTTCCATCAATTCTATTACACATTGTGCCTGATAGTCATTTATCAGGACACGAGACTGTGCCGCCCAGTTGTCTTCGCGCCAATCAAGCCTGGGGAGGCAGGTTTGACGGCCTGAAAGTGTGACATATTGACGACATTCGCGGTATGCACTTAAGATAGCTCTGCTAGACAGCCCACATAACGAAAAGCACTTCAACCAACTTCAGATCAATAAGACACCAAAATACGACAAGACAGCATCGGACTCCGTGGATCCGGCGAAATGAGGAGGTACACACTATTATGGATATTCCAGATATGCGACCAAAATTTGGCTCCGAACATTCATGGGGAACAGTAGAACGACCGTCCGCAGAACACTCCAAAGGTCGTGAGGGGCGGCCTAGGGAAGACTAGGGAACAAGATAGATGTAATATCCATGGTCATGATAGGGTGGTCACCGCAAGATATCAGACGAGGGAGGCGCCAAATAGATAGGTGGCTCGTCGTCATCTGAACGAAGAGCTGCAGAGACGATGATTGTCAGGCATCTCATTAGCTCCAGTGAATTAATCATCGACGGCGGTACGCGGAAACGCATGCAGGTAACAATGAAACAGCAATTAAGATTTTTATTAGTCGGTCGACTGTCGCGACACAACCGTCTACTACGTCGCGAGTCGTAACCTGCATGTCACAAGTCGTAAGCTTCCGTTGCGCGAAGGCCAGACGGAAGACACCTACCCAATCTCTATACCAGCTGCAACACAGGAGCACTACTTCAGCTTCGCGAAAAGCTTGGGCGCGACGCAGCCCTATGCACGGCAGGTCAGACTGGAAGGATACGATGGCAGGGACAATACGCACGTCTACACAATGCATCATGCTGTCAAACACAGCGAACGGTTAGAATAAGCATACACAGTTAAAAGAAGACTGCTCACTGGTCTGAATGACATGAAAAATTAGTAACGTGGAATATGATCAGCGATGTACCGCATCAGCAAAGAAATGTGTACATACAGCTAAAGACGGGCGTGCGTCAGCAATTAATGCGGAAAAGGACAATAAAAACGCGACGTACAACTCCTCGATGCAGTCTTCGCCCTTATAGCCCTTGCCAGCATTCACCTTTTCCTCGCAGTGCTGGAAATGTTTTGTGGCAGCCACGCACTTCGCCGACTGCTCGCACTCCTCTCTCAGCGCAGGCATGATCTACTCATGAGGCCAATCAATCCTGCCTCACAAGAAGACGGAACGAATGCACGCACGTCCTCGGGCTCTTCCTCTTCCTGTTCCTCCTCAGCGGGCTCCTCGGCAGACTCTTCCGCGGGAGCTTCTTCCTCCTTGGGCTCCTCCGCCTCTGCTGGCGCGTCGGCGTACGCGACGGGGAGAAACGACGACAAAAACGACGAGAGACTCATGGACGAGACAGACGAGCAATAGCGTTGACGTCGAAGCCGGATGTAGACGGGAAAGTCGGCTGCAGGCCTCCCGGCAACGAGCGAACTGCACTGCACGTGAGCTGACGCGGACGCGGGAGTTCGGTTCCGTCTGGACGCGACTTGATTGCTAGCCTGCTACGTTCAATATAATACGTTTGTAGATATTATTCGAGCAATGCAAGTTTATCACGTCTGGCTGCGTGCCCGCTCCTTGGGATATCCTCCATGATTATGCAGATTAACGCAAGGATTAATGCGCACATGATACCGGCCGCAAGAGCGATGCAAATACATTGTATTGTACATCCGTCTAACGGTAAGCAATGCAAAGCGGACAAAGGCCTACTCTTGAGTATCAGTGGTTCGGCATGGGCACTGACTTGGCAGGGAAAACGTAGTCATTGCTGCAAATACTTGCAGGCATGGCTGCGTGAGTAGTCAGCGCCACTGGGTTGCCCTGCATGATGCCAAAAATCCGTGCATCCTCTATCATGGCCCTAAGCTCGCTCTTTAGCCGTATCAGAAGCTCGAAGGCGATCAGCGCGCAGATGTTGTCCTAGTCAGCAATCTTCACTATCGTTATTTCTGCGAGGAGATCCCGTTGGAACGCTTGGCAGACCCGGTATTCCACGGCGAGCCATCGCTATAAAAATCTAAGCCCAGGCAGTTGTAGACGCAGTGTGTGCCAGTTATAGCCCAAGACCCAGATGGGATTCGTGTCGCTCAACGCCGAATGACGTCCTCGAAGAATTCTGGGGGTATTCTTGCCTGTGCGCTCGCCTCCTGACAGGCCTCTTGCCGCGTTGCACAACCGCAAAAATTAAGGGTAAGGGTACAAGACGCCTTCTCCTGTCACGGGCTCAGACACTAGGTTGTTCTCGCCGGGAGAACCCGTCCAGCCGACAGTCAACATGCTTAGCAGTCGCTGAAGCACTTTACCCACTCGTAGATTAATCATCGGCCCTCGCCAAACCATTGGGCGATCCGAGCTTGCGCATCTACGAGGCGCAATAGGGAAGGCCTTGAACATACACGAACAAGTCAGACATCGATATATTTGTCTTCTTACCTTCCTCGCTTACAATTCCTCCACGGACTGAGGCCCAATGAGCGAGCGGTCTACATTCAAAACGTGGGGGCACTATTGAAGCGCTCAATGGAAAATCCCAGCCTTGCAGGCTGAACCGCTGAAAAACCGCTGATAGTGCGACAACACACAGTACATCCGTAGGAAAATTGACAACATATGATTCGAGGCTCACCAGCAATCAAATGATGACGGCGTACATGGCATGGACATGGCAAGGTACTTCGGCAACACACGAAATGCAAGACTCTTTGGTGTCGTGCCAAACTTCCGCTTCCGCTCCTTTCCACATTTTCTGCGGCTCTATGTATACGGCCTATCAACATACCGGCGAGAGAGGCAACTCAACGTTACCCCATATCTCATTTTAGCTGCGGGAATACCGCCGAGTCCTACGACACTTGACGTGCCCAACGAGTCGGAAGCAAGCCGCACGGTTTTCTTGCTAGGTACCTGGCGGGTTGGAGGACCATCCAGCGCGGGAAGCGGCTGAAAAAAGACACGATAGACAGCCGTAGATTCGACCATCAGGCTGACAGGCATCCGGCTCAAATGCTACGAGCTATCCCGGCAATATACTGAGCTACAAAGCACGAGAGACCAGGACCATGTCTTCAGTCTTCAGTAGCCATGAAGAATCTCCAGCAGCAGCTGAAGAATGCAGAATACACCGACACAAGGTCGTAGAGCATGCAGAAGGCAGCACCAGATGACCTTCATAGAATGTGCAGCGGGCCTTCCCTCCTCCCACAGCTTGTCCTTGTTTGCCTTCGCTCGCGAGTTGTCCGCATTCAAGCACGCGAATTGTCGCCCATCGCGTCGAGCCGTCGACGTCAGTTACACGCTGCGCACCACAATGTCAAGGTGTCTGCTCTGCAGCCATCGAACGAACGAACCCTTTCGCTCGTCAAGGTGGGTAGGAAGGCCAAAGTTGTCGTACATATGTGCCAGTTGGAGGGATGAACAATGGTGGCACCGAGATGAGGTGAGAGGTGTTGTGTAAGACAATACGGCCAGGGACAATTTTCCGCTGAATGCGTTTCGCTACAGGAGACGAAGGTCGGAGGCGCCCACGAAGGTCGCTGCCGCCGCATCGAGGCGCTCGCGCGCGCTCTATGGATTACGACAAGCTGCTCCCGCACTCTCACCACCCATCGCATCGTCGGATAAAGTGTGGTAAATCCTGGGCAGAGAAAAGGTTGAGAGCAGCGGTGAGTGTTCTGCGCTCGCGTATCTGCGTTGGCGAATGCCGGGGATGAGGCATGCGCCGAGTATGTTCCGCGCACGGGTGGCCACTGGCGAACGCCAGGCCCAGTTGGCCGTGCCAGCGATACGTATTCCGCTGCGTGGCCGAGGCACCAGCCTCTTCCGGACTTGGGCTTTACTCCGAGTGCATGCCTGATCTCCGAGCAGCACGGCACCAGCCAGCTCGGCTCGCAGGCAGATGGTGACATTCTAATTTCTACAGGGACGATCGTCAGCGCCGTGGATGAGTACTTACTCGCCGACTCACACGACTTGCTTCCCTTCTCACTCGCCCTCGTCTGCAGCTGCTCTGCTCGTCGACCCAGCTGCACCCATTCCGTAGAGCACCCCCCCCCCCTTCTCTTCCGCATGGATGGCTCCAGAATGGTGTCGTTCTGCGGAATGAACGATGATACGTTGATCATCATCTTCAGCTTCCTCCCGGTGTCCTCCATCCTGGCTCTGAGGCAGGTGCGTCCGTCGTTGCTTCCCCCCACCCCGCCCGCAATGACCGGGGGGTAGACCTCCAGGCGCATGCTCGTGCTTTGTCGCACCCGCATGATCTGGCACAGTGCCTACGTCCGCCAGGTTCTGCACGCTGGGATCCCGTTCCCCCACCGCCGCCTCAAGTCCATGACCACGGCCGAGCTCGAGCGGGCCGTCCTGCGCGCGCTGCGCATCGGGAGCTTCTGGCAAGACCCCTACGCACAGCCGCGGAAGGTGGTCGACTTTACGGCCAGCGTCGGGACGGGGATCTCCGGCATCCACATCCTTCCTGGCCACGACGGACGGCGCATCTTGACCATCTCCAAGGGCATCTGGTCCCTGATCACCTGCTGGGAGATCACCGCGGACGGGTGCGCTCCAGGCGCTGTCCGCGAGCGGAAACTTGCCGAATGGGGCCCCAAGGGCACGATCTTCACCGGCGTCGTCGTCAACTCGGACGCGGATTCCGACGGTGTGGTCGCTGCGTCGATCCACGGTTCCAGGTTCGTCGTCTCGCGCCGTTGTCTATCCCTCCGTGAACTTTGTTCAGATTGGCGTCTGCAGCCGACAATATATACAGATTCTGTCCCTCGTTGATGGAGAAGGCGGCCGGGCAGAGTTTCAAGCCGTGCGAACGATTGAGACGACATACAGGCCGATTGCGCTCGAGGGCAGCCTCATCGCTTACAGCGACGACTCGGCCACCACGCGGGTGACGGACTGGAAGACGGGTGAGTCCGCCGTGCTGCGGGGCTCGGACGAGCCCATCGACGAGCACTTTCAGGTGAGCTGCCTCCCGTGCCCTGCCAATGCTCCGTCGTCCTCACGGCTGCCTATGGCCCGCGCGGCGCCCCAGTACAACCGCTGCCT